TTAAGGCTTATCTCGCTGCTTGAAATGTAAGTTCACTTGTATTAATATATTATTATACGCTTCCACTAAAGACCTTTTATATTCATTTAGTTTTTCTTGTTTTGCTGTTAGAGGGCGATTTTGTAAAACCCGTCTAAAAACTTTTGAAAAATTATTACGCAACCCCGCGAAGCAAAAGAAAAATTCTATATTGTTATTTAATTGTCAAAAAAATTAATTATGCAAGTTCTTCACTAGAAATATGCGGAAGAAAAAAGATTTCGAAAAAATGCTATTATAAGCGTAAAGTTTTATAATTTGAAAAATACGTATGTCTTTTTCTCAAACAGTCATCGGGTGCAAGCTAAACGTTTCATGCAAAAACGGGTTTCCATCCAGTAGGAGTATCGGGAAAATTCACATGCAAGGCAAAAGAGTATAAGTTGTTTTTAAATGTTATAATGTATGTATTTAAAAAAAGTTTAAATTTTGATTATATAGGAAGGTATTGTCACATATACATCGGTATATGATATAAATGTCGGTTATTTATATTTATTTTATATTTATTCAATCAGTAGTAATCTAGATTAACAAAGTTACTTACAGACTACTTAGAAATGGAAGGAGTTATACATTAAAACTCATTGCATTTAACATTGATTTGAAATCATACTTAGATATAGAAAAATCAATGGCTAGAGAATTTGAGAGAATATTGAACTCAGTCAGAGCTCGAAAAATTGGAGCATTAGAAGCGTAAAGAGTTCGCGCACATTCTGTATAAATAATATCACTATTTCGGAGAGTCCGGTTAGGGATATGGAAACAAATGCGCTCGAGGAGATATGGTGAATCAATTACACCCTTAATAATATCGAAGACAAAGGTAAGCGAAAGGATAGTTCTTCTGCTTTGAAGAGATGTCAAGTCAATTAGCGCACACCCGGCTTTATATGAGGGAATAGGGTGAGTGAAATTCAACGACCGCAGAGCAAAGCGTAAAAACGTTTTTTATACCCGTTTGAGTCTATTAATATGGCGTCCATGATAGGGTCTCCAGATAAAAGAAGCGTAATCCAACTTAGAGCGTACCAGTGAACAGTAATTTAAGAGTATAAGGATCTGTGAAATCTGAACTATATCGACGAATAAAAGCAAGCACTGAATATGACTTAGCAATGGTGTAATTTAGATGACTATTAAATAAAAATGTCGAGTCAAAAACTACACCTAAGTCAGTTATCTCATTAAGAGCAGATAGACGGGGACCAGCAATGCAATAAGAAGTGGGGATAACGCAACGCGATTTGGAGTAGGATAAATGAAAACACTTACTTCTGTTTAACTCGAGGCCATTGGATCGACACCAGGCTGAGACATTGTCAAGGTCTGATTGAATCTTAATGGAGTCTGGAGAATTTGAAATGGTCGAAAAAATCTTCAAATCAGCGTATAAAAGGAAATTAGAGTTAACGTAACAACTCGATATGTCATTAATAAAAATGACAAATAGCAGGGGGCCTAAGATGCTGCCTTGTGGAATCCCAGACGGCGCTATGAAAGAGTTGGAGTGCATATTGTCGACAACGACTACACAGTTTCGATGCTGAAGATAGGATTTTATCCAAGATAAAAATAGTGAATGAAAACCCAAACTAGCTAATTTAGAAATCAAAATTGAATGGCTGACTTTATCGAAGGCTTTTAAAAGATCTGTATATACAGTGTCGACTTAAAGGCGGTCATTGAAAGCCGTCATACAAAATTCCGAGAAAATTGCTAGATTTGTCACAGTAGACCTACCGGACATGAAATCATGCTGATTATCGGAAATTAAGCGTTTAACTGTAAAATACAACTTCTGCTTAACAATATATTCAAACAGCTTTGAAACAGTCAACAACTTGGCGATGGGCCTGTAGTTGGAAACATTGCTTTTGTCACCACTTTTAAATATAGGGCTAGTGAAGGTAACTTTCCAGGCATCGATGAACTCGCCACACCAAAGTGATTTATTGAATAGTAACAAGAGTGGGTTTGCAAAGGCCAAACAATTCTTAAGAAGATACGATGATAAGCCATCAACGTCTGTCTGCAATGAGGATTTGATTTGCAAAATGCCATCAACTACATCATCAAGAGATAATGAGAGCCTGCCAAAGGTAATTGGAGAATCCACAGTTGGAAAAAAACCCCGAGAGATGTCCGACTGTGTCACAAAATTCGAGCAGAAGAAGTCAGCAAAAAGATTTGAAGCCTCAGAAGAAGAAGAGGCATGGGTCCCATTATAAAAGACTTCCGAGGGAATACTAGAGCACGATTTTTTTGAATTTACATAGTTCCAGAACGACTTTGGATTCACCTTGATATCCGTCTCGAAATTACGAACATACCTGCTCTGAAGTATTTTACCTAACTTTTTAAACTCTCTCGAATAGTGAAGATATTTATCTTTAAAAGCAGAAATTTTAGTTGATTTGAATTTTTTGTAAAACTTATTTCTCAAATTCTTTAGCTTCTTTAGTTTCTTAGTATGCCACGGGATTTTATAGCAGTTTTGTTTTTTTAGCGGAATGTTGTTCACACAGATTTCATTGACTCTATTTCCGTAACATCGAATCCAGAAAAAAGTGATTCCCAGTCTGTGGAGGAGATTTCTAGATTGACAATATCAAAATTGCAACGCCTAAAACTAAAACTGGGCATTAGATTGTTCGAACAGATACTTTCAAAGTTATAAAATTCGAGATCAAGAGAAAGCGGCACATGATGCAAACCGGGACACGAAAGTCGGTCAAGGCATTCACCTAAATTAAAGTTCATATTTTCATTAATGAAAACTAGATCAAGAGTTCTGGATAACTTATTAGTGAGACTATTTATCTGGGATAGATTAAAAATTAAGAAGTTGTCTAAAAGATACGATTCAGAAAAACCGTTTACATATTTAGGAAGTAAAGTTGAAGTATTGTCTAAGTATGACCATTCCACGTTCGGTAAATTAATGTCTCCGACAATGCAAAAATTATCACTATGATGATTACAGACGAGATCAACAACGTTGTCAACGTGCGATTTGTAGAGTGAGTCCACACTAGACGGAGGGATGTATGACGCGCAGATAAAAGTTCTGGAGCTGTCAAGCACCGAGACACACAATTGATCCAACAAGGAGTCCGTGTTGCTCAAACTCACAAGCGATGAGCGAATCCGACGATGAACAGCGATGAGAACCCCACCTCCTCTCGAGAGGCCTAATTTGGAGTAGTCCCGATCTTTGCGATAAACGCAATACAAATTGGCGTTGAAGAATTCGCTGTCAAAAAACTCCGAATTCAGCCAGGTTTCAATGAAGACAAAAATGTCATATTCAGCATTTTAGTCCGCAGGCCGGATACATTTTGAAAATATATTGTAAGATGCTTTATGTACTTGGGATGATTCGTGCGGCAATTAACTAGAACACAAGTGCCTACGGCTTCAGTTGTGGTGCACCTTCATTTTGAAAAAACCGAAAGGGTCGAATCATAACATTCGTTGGCCAAATATTCGCGTTGAGCGCTTTGTCATAAAAGCACTCATTAACACCTAATTTAAAATTAACTTTCTTAATTTCATCTACATTAGTGTCCTTTTTTTATTAGCGGGAAGCAGTTAAGAAATTTAGCATCGATTTTAGCATGTTTAGATACATAACTGATTATGTTCTCAGCAGTAACATTATTTGAAAACGAAGACAGATGCAACCACTTCTGATTAGAAACCACATTTAATTCATTGTTGTTGTTTGAGCCAATAATTAAAGGTTTCCTGGGCTTCGAACGACTGTTTTTAGCTGTTTTCCAGTCAGAATTTTGGCTAATGGTGGCAGTATTAGTATCAGTCAGAACAGACTGTGAGGGAGCAGTAATAGAACCAAAGGAAGTGGATGTCGGAGTAGTATCAATTCATGTGTTCGCAGTACCATCTATCTGGGTACATGACGATAGAGACGATGAACAGCTTTGAGTTGGTGCCGTCGCTGACAACATAGCTATCGCAGTAGCACCAGTACATGTGTTAGCCTTAGCAGCTGCGTGAATATGAGACGAAAGAGACGAAGAAGAGCGTGGTACTGGTACAGTAGCAGACGGTGTAGCATTCATTGCGCCAATGAGAGCAGCCTTGTAGGTCGGAGTTGATCGCATAACATCATTGGCAGAAGCAGCGGCAGACACATTAACATTAGAAGTGGTAGTAAGAGCATCACTATTAGTAACATTTGCATGCGAAGCGCCAGAGACAGGAGCAGGTGGAGAGGAGGCAGGGGGTGAAACATTGTTAACACCATCGCCCCGCGTTACAATATTATTAGGTACGTCAGCTTCACTAACAACACACTTGGATATGTTCTCGACAGCAGTAATCACACATGAGCGTAGGTTAGTCAACTCAGCTTTGAGTGAGGCAATCGCACCGTCTTTTCTTGCAGAGCACACCGCATAGAAATAAGATCAGAATGCAAATTATCAATTTTCGACACTAGCTTGTTGTTTTCATCGCGCTGCGCAGTTGTCGGCTCGAAGAGAGCCCATAATATTATACAACGATCCCAAAGTTATTTGTTGTTGTTGGGTCTTGGCTTCATTCGGAGTATTAACAGACTGTTTGACCGAGGCTGCCGATTTCAAATTCGCACTTTTTAGAGAGTCGGATTTAGCTACAATATTAGGCGAAGCACTTTACTTTTCATCCAAAGTACCAATTAATTAGAATTAAGCTTAAATATTTACTGTGGTTTGCTATTTATAGTGTCGATATCCAAACAAGTTTGTTTTTCTTTTTTTGGTCAGGTCGCCTTAATGTCTCGGTTGGAAAAATGCGAGCATACTTAAATTAAGCTTATTCTTTGATAAATCACTTAATACTATTACAAGTTTTTATAAAATTCACTTTGATTAAGGCAATTCAAATATGGTATGTATTTTAATTAATTAATTAAGTGTGTACACATTAATGTTGAAAAAACAATATCAAACTTAAAAACTACTGTCTTACTCCTCGCATGACTGTACTCTATATTCGCCGACATCCCACGCCGCTGTCTCAAAATGTTGGTTGTTGCTGTTGTAAATTATTTTCCACCGCTGCAGTCCCATAACAATTTTTATTTAAAGTTGATTTAGTATTTTATTTAAAGTTGATTATGTATTTTAGTTAAAAGTTGATTAAATACTCCAAATATAGCGTGAGTATGCCGCTATGGGAAAGATCGCGTGGGGTTACTGCAAAAGTTTTCAGGAAACCTCTGTTCGGCTGGTGGTATGCCTAACGCGACCGCCGCATGCCCAGTTACAGTGGAAAAGTACTGTTTCACGTGCGTATCGGGCTTTGTATATACGCGCGTGTGTATGTAAAAAGTGGCGTGGCTTAATGTTGCGATGGCGTTATGTCTGATTGCAGGTAGTGGCGTGGCTTTTATACGTAGGTATATACGTGGTGAGTAGAAAAATGACTGTACTACATTTTTGGGATTACCGTACAACAACATCAAACGGTATATTCCTATGAAAACGGCATCGCAGCTTTAAAACGGTACAGCATTTCTACACAGTGCAGTTTTTACGGCGTACAGCATATTCACACCGTATATAAATACATACATATTACATACGGCATACCGCAGCAGCAGAACACTAAAACGGTACCGAACATTCCCACGACAGCCGGTTCTACGTACCGGAATGACTCGGGTTTTGCCCGACCAAGGGCTGTTGTTTCGGCGATCTAACCCCGTTTAGGTCGGCGAAATCTATCAAACGTTGCTCGATCCTAGGGCTACACCTTCTCCGCACCCCTCTGCTCAGGGCTGGCATAGAGGGCCAGAAATCTACACCTGCTGCGTATGCCAGAGACGACTGCATACAAACTCCACCTCGGTCAGGTGCAATGCCTGTGACGGGTGGAGTCACCTCCGTAACTGCTCGGGCCTACGTACGCACCGGTAATGGACCACGTCGTTCGTGGTCCCATGCAGTGCGAACCGGACCGCCTCTATGGCAAACCACCACCCGCCTGGGCAGAACACAATCAACACACCCACACTCTAATACAACACAACAATAGACACGCAAACAAACACAATAGCACCCACACACCGCCGCCGGCAACTCCTAGTCCCTCCGACAATCTGCTCTGTTTGTTAGTCCAGAATATAACGTAACGTGACAACAGTCAAGTGCAACTCTTGCCTCGGCTGGTGCCACTTCAGGGCGTGCTCAGGAATTCGCAACACGCGAGATTGGACTAGTGACTATGTGCTCCCCTGCAGTGCTGCCCCGTCGCATCCCTCCCCCGCGACGCCGCCAACCACCACCACAAGGCAGTACCCCCTTTTGCAGCACGTACAGCAGCCGGCAGGCAACGCAACTCTTTAACACCACACATCACAATCGGTCTCCCAAGGCACACAAAGGTACTACAATTTAACTGTAACGGACTCCAGAGCTAGATCGAGGAGATAACTGTGTTTATGGGAAGGCATGGAATATTAATAGCTGCGGTCCAAGAGACGAAGTTGCACGGCAATTCAACCCAGTTGAATTGCGCCGGATACAACGTGCACCGCCGAGATCGCGAGCGAGATAATGGTGGAGGTTTAGCGTTTATCACACACCACACCGTGCAGTATCGTCTCATTGAAGCAGACATCGACCGCAGGGATACCATCCTAGAATGTCAGGGTATTGCTATCCGGTCAGGCGATGTTGAGCTCGAAATATTTAACGTATACATACCCCCTGTCACCAGCTGCCCGGCAGGGTATCACCCTGAAAGAGGTGCGCTACTCAGAGGTGAAAACCGTATGGTAGTTGGTGACTTTTAACGCGCAGCACGATCTTTGGCACTCAAGCCTGTCAAATGATAGTAGGGGAATACATCTGGCTGAGCAGATAGACGATTCGACATTCTGCACAATGAACGACGACGCACCCACCAGGATTATGGGCAGCTGCTGCAGCTCGCCAGATCTAACAATTGTCAGCGCTGGTCTGATAAACAGCGTATCATGGCGATCTATGCTGACTCTAGCATCAGACCATCTGCCCATAGTCGATTGATAAACCTCTCGACTTTGCTTCCGTGGATCACCGGACTTATGCCAACTTTTCCAAAGCTGCTGGAAAGGCTTCACGGATGTGCGCCTTCACTGCACTACCCATACCAACCGACGTTCATGTAGGTGAACGTAAGTTCCGCAGGGTTGTCACCGCTGCTGCAGCTCGCTTCATCCCAGCAGGATGTATTAAGGATCCACGTCCGAATTTTCCTGCCGAAGCGGCTGTTCTAGCTGATGAGCGCGACAACCTTCGTCAGGCCGATCCCGGAAATCCCCGTATTAGGGATCTCAATTCGGAGATTCGGCAACTTGTGAACGTACATAAGCGGAAGAAATGGGAAGAGCATCTGAAGACCTGCAACTTCGCCTCTGGTGTGAGCAAGCTCTAGTCAACCGTGAGGTCGTTGTCCAACCCGACGAAGCGCGACGACAGAGTCGAGATAGACTTTGGTGACCACGCTTCGTCGGACCCGGAAAGATGCGCGAGCTATTTTAGCCAGCAGTTCATTCTGCATCCGCGTCGAGTGCCCAGAAGGCTGCACAAAATGCCAAAACCTAGTGCGCCTCTTGTTTTCACCAGCGGTGAGGTAAGGGTAGCCATCGGGAAGGCGAAAGCCTCCAAAGCCATTGGACCCGACGGAATATGCATGTTGATGCTGAAAAATTTGGGTCCTGCGGGAGTAGCGTACCTAACGGAGGTCCTCAACCTGTCTATGGCCACTCTCGTCATTCCAGACATCTGGAAAATGGGGAGAGTGGTCCCACTGCTCAAACCGGGGAAACCAGCCAACAAAGGAGAGTCTTATCGCCCGATAACTCTCCTTTCCCCGGTAGCGAAGACACTCGAGGCCCTGCTGCTCCCGTACTTCACGAACCACCTGACCCCAGCGAAGCATCAACATGGGTTCCGTAAAGTGCATAGTACAACAACAGCACTTAACGCCATAAACACTCAGATAACTCGTGGCCTAAACCGAAACCGCCCCTGTGAGAGAACTATTCTAGTAGCGTTGGACCTGTCCAAGGCGTTCGACACTGTCAGTCATTCAATGCTACTAGAAGATATAGAGGCCTCCTCACTCCCACAGGGACTCAAACGGTGGTCGGCGAATTACCTGAGTGGTCGACACTCGTCAGTAATCTTCAGAGACAAAACCAGCAAGCCACGTAAAATTAAACAGGGGGTACCACAGGGTGGTGTCCTGTCCCCGCTACTGTTTAATTATTACATCTCAAAGCTTCCTCAGCCACCAGAGGGTGTTAATATCGTCTCCTATGCTGACGATTGTTCGATCATGGCGTCTGGGAATGGAATTGATGACTTGTGCTCGAAAGTAAACGGTTACCTCTCCGAACTTTCTCGCTTCTTCACTGCAAGGAGCCTTGCCCTATCCCCTGCGAAATCCTCGGCAACCCTTTTCACCACCTGGACGAAGGAGGTCAGACTGCCACTGGGTATTCACGTCGATGACGTAACAATACCGACGGTGAATAACCCGAAAATCCTCGGAGTTACCTTCGACAGTCTGCTCTCCTTCTCGGCGCATACAACCGCAATTGTCAACAAAGTACAGAGCCGCAACAAGGTCCTCAAGTCGCTAGCCGGCAGTACTTGGGGCAAAGGCAAAGAAACGTTGCTGGCAACATACAAGGCAATTGGCCGGCCGGTTCTAAACTATGCAGCGCCCGTATGGTTGCCGGGGACTAGCAGGACGCAGTGGATGAAGCTAAAGACCTGCCAAAACACGGCATTACGAACTGCGACAGGATGCCTCCTGATGACGCCCCAACACCACCTCCATGACGAGGCCCAGATGCTCCCAGTAAAGGAGCATAACATAATGCTCTGCAAGCAGTTCCTTGCTGGGAGCCACAAACGTGGCCATCCCAGCGGACAGCTGCTCGCGGAAGAGCCCTCGCTACGGCACGTCATGAGGCATCTCTACGAACTGACGGACGAAGTCCATAGGTTTATCAAACAACCTCTCCGCCCTGTGAATGCCATTCTAGGCACACAACCACCGGACGTGGACAGGACAGAACTTTGTCTGCCTCGGGAGACCCGCACTACAATAGCCCAACTTCGCTCTGGCTATTGCAGCAGGCTCAACTCCTACTTGAGCAGAATCAAAGAGGATGTGGCCAACCGATTCCCGGCATGTGGATAGTCGCCACATGACTCCCGGCACCTCTTCACATGCCCTGAGAACCCCACTCAGCCAACGCCCCTTTCCTATAGACAGCCCCTGTGGAAGTAGCACACTTCCTGGGCCTCCCCCTACCTGAAATTGACGACAACGTTGATGGATGAACCGCCCCGAACGGGGCTTAGTAGCCGCTACAACAACAACGGTACCGAATTTTTACGTCGCACAACGCATACATACATTTTCAACAAGTTTTTGAGCACAGCCAACCACCAACCGCGACCACCGCCACACGTTCCCACGACAGTCGGGTCTACGTAACCGGAACGACCCAGATTTATATCTGGCCAAGGACTGTCACTCCAGCAACACTCCCCAAAAAGTCTTTGGGGAATTTGTATGCTGCTACAACAACAACAACAACAACAACCACCGCCACACTTGTGCTGCTTTAAGCACTTTTTAATACGCGTACGGACTCCAGAGACTCCGTGGCTCCGCGTCACGGTCGCCATGTTTAGCACCCGCTTACCACACGATGAAACTCCTTTAAAACGCCGGGTTACAGCTCCGGTTCCAACTGGGGCTCCGCTTGTAGAATATGAGTATATGTAGCTGGGCTACATATGGAGTTACAAAATCCAGTAACCGCAATAAAAAGGTTTCTATTGAATTTAAAATAGTACACGCGCGAGTACTACTTCCGCTTGTAAAATGAAACAAAAGACTTGTTGAAAGCACAAAAATTAATTGATTAGAATTTACTGACCCGGTCAGGTTAAAAGGCGAGTATCGAATGAATATTAACGTTTTTACAAAACTCACGCCTAGTGGAAGAAAAAATAACTGTTGTATGTTGGCAGTAGTACCAACGTTATGG